GTACTAAAATCCGATGAATAAAAATAAACAAATTTAACCCTTTGTAAATTAACCTATCTTCTTCCCAGAGGTCTAATCTACCCACAAACATTAATTTATATATATTATAAATACACAGACTATAACTATACAGATTAAACTCTGGAACTACTTATCAGATCTTCTTGTATATTATATTATATAATATGTATTAAGTATATTGACAAAAAATAATAGTACAAATCAACAAACATGCCCGATTAACCAATAGCAACCAATATATTATACACCGGTGGATTTTCCTAACATTTTCTTTCATATCAATCTTCTCCGTGAAATACTCTTTCGTTTAAAAAAAAAATCAAGAAGATCTGATAATTAGTTCCAGAGTTTAGCCTGTATAGAGATTTTCATTTCACATTTTTATAGTTAGATATTATTATATTATAATTTATATTTTAAAAACTAAAGCAAATAATTTTTTTATTATTATTATTATTATTATTATTATAGCTTAAAAACCCATGGCAACCATTTATAAGCATCTGAAATCTCAAAATTCCCGTTTGAGCACCTCCCGGGGTTGGTCCTCTCCCTTTTTATATTAGCCTATCTTTTAAGTTGGACCAAAATACACACAGTGTAAAAATTTCATCAAGATCGGTCCAGTCGTCTCGGATTTTATCCCGGACAAAGACGTGACACGAGATTTTTATAAATATAAGATAGATATCCCCTTAAAACAATTATTTACAATTGATATTCAAATTGTTTCAATATTTGTGATCATTGATCAAAGTACATTTAAATGTTATTATAATAAATGTACATTTTACATATATGTATAGTATTATTAGACGTACAAAATATTCCCGAAATTACATAGCAATCAATATTTATACAGTCTTATGCATGTATAATACTATAATGTGCAATAATATAACGAAACGAAACAGATGTCTCGGAAACTATTAAAATTATTTAATAAATTATACTGACCAATGTCAGCTCCCTTCAACGAGTGCATCCGACTTTCAGAATTCAATTACTGTTGAGTGTATACTGTATACCATACATATATATTATATAATAGTATAGCTCTCTGCTCTATATACATAGATCTCTCAGAAAAAAAAAATATTTTGGACGTTATCCAACCCTGAAACTTAATACAACTTCGTAGGGTTCTAATAACGACCTACAATAATTGACCTAACAAGAACACAATAAAGCACTTAGGTGTGTGTTTTACTTAGGTACTTGTAGAAGAAAATCTAATTCACGCGATAACGACAATACTCCTTCATGATAAAATAATATGTTGTGGTACCTATTACCTATATGTATAAGTATATATATTTTATTCAATATCTTTAAAATGTGTAACCGTATAGTGCTAAGTATAATATATTTTTTTTAAGGGAATGGCATTTTTTTATTGTTCACATGTGTAAACATACTGAAGAATTGATATAGCTATTAAAAATATATTGTGTGTGATTGAAAGTATATACAGTTTAAGTTGTATTATTTATTTGACTGCAATATGAATTATGATACACATCAACCACAAATCTCGTCAGTTGTATAGTTTAACGTGGCTGGCTTTAATAAATAACCTGTTCAAGTGTTTTTTGACAAATAAAATATTCCACTAGCAAAATAAAGACGTAAAATAGCATAAATCCTACTGAAAAGGAAATAATTAAGTACAAGAAACTGGTTTTAAGATAATGATCATTATTTTATATTTTGATCAAACTATTTTATTTCTTATTAGTTCTTGATCCATACAAATTACATACCTAACAAACTTATTTGTATAAAAATTCTAATATTTACAACTAACCGTGATTTCTAAAAATATTAATCATTTTTTGGTACGACGTTTTAAGTAGCACATTAAAATAAAACATCATAGTAATATATTTTTAAAAATGATTTGACTATTTATCAAACAGTGATAGTTTTACTTGAAAATTAATAAAATTTTCTAAATTACAATAAGAAATAAACTTTTACGGAGTAAAAGATGATGTGAATTTTTTTAATTTTATAACATTAATGCAATTTCCAAGTACAATAGCCACCTGCCAGGGCCCAATCATGTAGTAAAAATCACAGATTTGACAAAGATAATAACAGACAATAGTTATACATTTGTATTAATGATTATATATTTATATGTGTCATTTGTGTGAGTGCGATCGATCAATAAATGTACCCTTTTCCTAATAAATAGATGTTATTCACTTTTATTAATTCGTGTACAACAGTATATAACCTGTCATTGATTTGTGAAAGAATAGTTTTGTGTTATTGTGATTTGTAATGAATCGATAGTATATAAGTGAGACATTTGCAAATTGTGTACAAATTGCTTGTGGCTGAAGAAAAAAATTATTTAATTAAAAAAAAAACAATTGATACCGTTTTCAAACCATTGGTTTAATGGTCAATACTTAGGTAATAGCAATGACTCATGATGATGAATTCTAATGAACATTTCTATTCAATTGTGATTTTTGATAATTTACACTGTGTAAAAAAAATATAAAGTATAATAATATACTATTATAATCGGTAGCCATTTCTTTACAGACTCCATGATGATGCGATTTTACTATAAATAGTTTTACATTTCTTTAAGGCGATAAATTTAATATTATTTTGAAACAAATTAATAAAATACAGTATGACTAATTTATTGATTCCCTGCATAATTTTATAAGCATGTGAGCAAGATCATAAATACACTATATAGGTATTGACTAGGTACTCCGTACTTGTTCAATCATTGAACGTACACGTTTAATTGTTAGTGAGTACATATATTATAATATTCATTAGGTATTTTAAGAACCAGAGTCAACTACATTTTTGTACATTACGCGGAATTAATTCGTTTGAATTATTATTTAAAGTGAACGCAATATGACTCATAGGTGTCTCGAAAAACAGATAATTTATAGATTAATGTTGCAGTATATACCTACCTGCAGCCATTATGTAATATGGATTTTAAATAAAAGATATTTTATAATCAATTATATTTTTGTATAGTATAAAATAAATATCAGAGTAAGTAATAAGTATTTATTATTGCAACACACTGTTAACATTGTCTACCGTAAGAAACTTATATAAATGCGTATTTGGTAAAAAATTGCTAAGGCTGCAACATTTTTGAATTTACCTACATAATAAGTGTTTTGGCAAATAAAAACTATAATTAATCGATAAGTAAAATTCTCAAGTTATCAATAAAAACTAATAAAAAAATAAAAATGAAACTAAACAAAATGAATCATTGTTTTTTTAATAGTCAAATTGTTCTTAATCTAAAGTCATTAATAATCATCTTAAACCTTTTTTGGTATTAACAAAATCAATAAAAGTAGGTACCTATAAATATTTTTTATTTTAAATTTGTATATCTTATTTCGATCTTTGTAACTTAAATCATCGGTTGATCTTTGAATAATCTAGAGTATAAATATTTATATTATTTTTGAGCAAAACTGTATAAGATGGACAAAACTGTTTTTCAAGGGTGTCTCTCCCTAGGAACAAAAAAAAATTCGTTTGGAATAATATTATAGTATTGGTCAAAGTATTATTAAAATCTCAGATATATATCGTAAACTTTTGGAAGACTTATTGGTTTACTTACAAACGATTTCAATACAATGGTTTACGAACGGTAAATCGTCATGTTAAGACTACAAGTCTGCGTTTTACAATAGGCGAATATACGAGTCGTTGCGATGTGAAATTCGAGACTTTTTTATTACTTTTGTATAAAAGAATTATTTTATAATGTGCAGTTTAATCTTTGACGAGGATCGGGAAACAAATTTATGACTGAGGCACGTCATATATAATATAATGTTTGTAACACCATTATATAGACTGGATTTTCACGTAGATCCCGAAAGGTTAGGTTAGACTACGAATCACGACAGCTGACAATATTATATTTTTAATTAGATATTTTAAATCAACCTTTTATTGGAGCAACAAGTACACATTCCCATAACATCAGACCGCGCTGTTCTTTGGATTACTCCCCCGCGTTCAACACCGTTGAAAAGGGGAAGATTGAAGAAGATAACAGGTGTGACGTGCGTATTTATTGTACTGCAGGTATATAGTGTTATTGCGTTACTGTGTAAAAATATACGTATTATAATCTATAATTATTACGATGATGTTGCTTCTTAATAGTTTATTTGTTCTCGGAAGATTTTATAAGGAAACAAAATTTTGAACAGCCCTCGGGCTAGACTAAATGAGAAACACGCGCAGGTACCTATATATATATATGTATGTATGCACATACTGTGTACCTGCACTTATATACACGTTGAACATCTATATACAATGTTTAAGATATTATAATATACACATTGTAGCTGTATGCCTGTATGTTCCCGACGAAGGGGTGGGCACGAAGATGGAATATATATTGCAAGAATAAAAAGATAGATTAATATATTAAAATATTATATTATATTATATATATATTACTTGTGACGGTGGTGGGGCCGGCCCGTGCAGCTGCAACTTGGGAAATAAAACTCGGCGGCGTCGCGCGCCACCGCAGTTCCGTCCGAGACCGGTGCGCGCGGTCATGTGCGAGTGTCGTTGCAGCGGAGCAGTTGCCTGCCGCCGAACGCGAGTGTTGTCCACGTGCGTCGTCCAAATCTCGTTGCATTTTCGAAACCGACGGATGACCTAAGCGACTCTGTAGAAGATTTTTTTTTTTTTTTGTCGAAAACCATTTCGACATTTTGCACGTCTGTCGTAATATTATTATTGGTATTTGGTACCTCCTAAAAATATTTTAGCCATATAACATAAGAATAACACGTCATCGAACAATACTATTCGGAAGACTATCGCGCGGACACGACTGTCGCAGACAAATCGTATAACAGCGAATCCAGTGCAGACGATCTTCGTCGGCGCCATACCACACTGTTACCGCGGTTACCTATTTCTACATACAGGGACGTGTCATGACCGCGGCCCCGCGAGTTTTGGCACTGGCCACTCTGCTGGCGGTCGGGGCTCAGACTCTGTCCTACGGCGGCTCGGACGGCCGTCACGCGGCCTCCGGCGTCGAACGGTACACGAAACTCGATCGGTTCCTCCACGACCGGCTGGGCCTGGCCGGCGTCTTCGGCGTCGGCGGTGTCGGCAACCGGTCCAGCCCACCGGCGCCGACCACCGACCGGGGACTGTTGTCCAGGACGACTGCTGCCGTACCCGAGGACGAGGACGACGACGGCGCGGATAACGAAGACGGAGATGACGATGATGACGACGACGAGAAGGACGAACAGGACGAGGTGACTCCCGGGCCTTTCGTCAGGCTGCGGCACAGGAATAGTCAGGCTGCGGTGGCGGCGGCGGTGGCGGCTGAGAAGGACTTAGACGTCTACGGCAAGGTAATAATAATAATATAATACCTAACTAGTAAAAATAATTTTATTTTGCACGGGATAAATAAAATAATGTATACTGCACATTTCATTTATATACACGTAAAATATACATATATACTATGGTCCGAAACGAAATTTACCTTTTTAGCCCAAGTACCTATATAGATGGTGCATCTCATTATTTAAAAAAAAAAAATATTACAAATGCAATATGGTAAATTTTTTCATTGTAATTAATTAGATAAAGCCAATACATTTTGGTATTGATTTTTTAATTTTTAATTTTTTTTATATTTTACTGTTGTCTGTTGTCATTTGTATTATGAAATGCTTGCATTAAACTACATTTTACTTGCATTTCCCAACGTAGTAGGAATATAATAAATATATAAAATTGGACAGAGATAAATGTATATTAGGTGATCGGACGTATAATGGCCAAAGACGAAAAATCCCGACAATTATGCTATGTGCCTATATGTGTATACCCGTGCTCACCTTTCGAACAATAGTAATTACAGGGTTAAACGGTCGTATCTTAAGCTGCATTCGTGTATACGAAGGTACATCGTGACAGTAATTATTTATGTGCAGAGCGTGCGTATTATAATATAGAGGAATGTCCCTGCGCGAGACTCGTGAATAATAATTATCCGTGTATAATCGTAGGTACGATGTGTGTTGCAGCGTGCACCTAAATGCATATAAGTATTGCTATACAGTGTGTAAGCTGACAAAGAACGTTATATGCTTGAAGAGCATTTCAATATAATTCGATAGGTGGTTGGGTATACAGTGTATACTATACACGTTACAAAACACATATTAATATATCATGAATGTGTAGGTACTTGGCAGTATATGAAGTTGCATGTAAATATTGAGAATAATTGTGCATGTAGCATTTTAAAATACACACACTCGTATTATAGGTACATGTATAATTATTAATAATATAATTCGAATGATTCTAAACACAGTTTTTTAGTATCTATAGGTAAAAATAGATTTTCATTACATTATATTTATATTTCTCCTAAAAAAATCTAATAGCTCATATATTCAAATTCAAAATTATAACTCATTATAATATAAACAATTTGCAATAAAATTAACGAAAACCGCAAACTTGAATTTACATTTTATACTTATTAAAAAGGTTAAAACAATATATATGTTAGTCTAATCTATTTGAATTTTTATCTACGCACGAGACCAATAATAATATTATGATTGATGCGAGTACATCAAAATTGTTAACCGATACTAATTACTAATTAGTAATGAATCATAAGCAATGAACATAATAATATATGTTTTATCTGGTTAAAGGATTTACTTATTAACGACCAATTAATCACCATTTTGATAATAATATATATTTTTTTTTCATTTTAAAATGCCAATGAATTATTTGAACATTATAGCAGATAAAATTAATAAAAGAAAAGAAATTCATATTTACAAATTATTATATTTCAAAAATACCTATATACATTGCATATATTTTACGACTAATATTTTTGTTGTATTCTACCATTAGTAACATAATAATAATTTAATATACACATTATTTTGGTAACATCTTTGTGATTCGTTCAAAAACTATGTAATATACATAACTAATAACAATTATTCTGACTTGATTTGAAATCAATTTATGCATCCATGTACTTTTTTCGATTACTATATGACATACGAAATAATATAATACTTTTGAAAATTACTTACTACTTATTCAACTAATAATATAAGCCAGACTGGTATTGCTTCAGGCTTCCGTGAACCGATTTTATTTTTTACCCTAAATTATACATAATTTGTATTTTGGAAATGACCTATACACTTATTCGGCAGTTGAAAAGTCGGTAAATGACCGTGAATGTGCGTAATGTATTTAACGATTTTATTTTTAGCTTTTCATTAAATTTAAAATGTTGTCAGGTTGAAATATATTAAATCATATTAGTGTGTGTGTTACATTTGTAACATTATTAAATAAATAACAAAATATGTAAAAAAAATATGTATAACATTTAGTATAAAACATATTGCACTTTACACCCATATAAATGTTAATAAAATATATTATTCTACTGAGTTCAGAGTTCATTCATATCTAAAGGCTATAATCATTTATTTTATAAATTACTAATTATAATACGATTTGTACATAAACACCTACAATAATTGCATTGCTGTTTTCGTTAATGGTTTAGATTTCGTTGTCATTGATGATCTGGTGATAATGCTAAGATCAATGAATTTCACATATTTTCAATAAATTATAAAGAATGTTGAAAAGATCTGAATCACGATTGAAAATAAATCGATTTTTAGGTAAAAATATATGACTAGGAATGACAATATCCTTTTCCAAATTAAAACAATAGGTAGGTACGTATTAATATCGATGACATTTTTATCGTTTTATACATGGAATATGAATACTTGATTGGTCTTAAAAATGTATTTATTTATTTTATTAAAGTTTACGGCTTAATATTTTTTATAATTACCTACTATCGGTAGGTATGGGTTGCGAAAAAATCAGGTAGTACATATTTATATTTTATTATAATATGCATGTTTATAGGTACTTACGTGTGATGTATAGCAAGTGAATAAATCATAGACATATCGCAACCTGCAGAAGATTGCGATATGTGACACACCCCTAAGGCATATTAATAATTTTTACCGTTAAATCCTCGTAATAATTAATAATATTTCGCGAGCTCGTTTTATGTCTGAAGTTTTTTTTGCCGTCCATCGATTATCCGTTTTTGTCGTCGAATTCCCACGCGTAAGCATGTACGCACGCCTTTTCGTACGATCCTGTGGCACAGGACGCGGACAAATTGCACGGTCTTTATATATTTTTTCTATTAATATTTTTCATTTATCAAACTAGTCTCGCGTGAATTATAATAATATTGTTTACGAGTGTAAAGTGTTGGCGACCGCCGACCGGCGCATCTATTAGATTTTACAATCGAATATTGCCGACCGCATTCGAAGTGGTTAAACTATTAAATTATTATAATATGCTATAACATTATGTATCTTGTATATTGTATTTATCTGAAACGAATTATCGTTTTCCCGAAAATTATACCGATAATTAATATAATACACCTACCTAGCGAAAACCTGTTGAAGATTCACGTGCATGCGATTTTCTCGGCGACATCGTACAAAAACTTACTCGAATTTGGAATAATTTTCGGACCATTCGCCACGTCTGCCGTAAAAAAAATAATGTAACGTCCATTGAAACTAAACTCTCTGCTGCTACTTATCCCTCAACTGCTGCAGGTCGCGTCTTCGAGTGCAACTGTACATCGATCTCTGCGTATCGTCGTCTGGCTGTTGCAGTATAGTGTTCGTATAAATCCGGCCAAACGATTTGTTATAATATTATTATTTTCGCAACCGAAAGCCACTACGGTATAATAATATACATTAATGTGAGAGCTCTTTGAGTCTGTAGAATTCACAATTATAGAGTCCCAGACTGAGGCCGCAGTCGCTGCAGACTATCGTGCAATATATTAGATTATTATTTATTTATACCGTCCGATTGCGCGCAGTTTAGCAGCCTCTGGGACCGTTTCCAAAAATAGAGCTTCCTCATAATATACATACTGCTCTTACTATTTAATTAATCGGCATAAATCAATCGCAATTTCTGTACAACAGTGATGGCGTATATATTATGCATATTATACTGCATAATAGTTTCGGCCCAGACCCTGCGGTCGGTGTATTATACATTTAACGACCATGATGCGACGTATATGAATCGAGTTCCGAATTAATGTCGAGTTTCGATGTAGAATTATTATTACTATAAGCTTAACCCGTATTGTATGTGCGTGTACTTACTTTATTAATTATTTTCACCTTTCCGTGAAGTTTTGAGGCTACGGTCGTTTTCATTTTCGTTTTTAGTATTATATAAAAAGAAATATATATATATACTATATTATCAACTACTAGACTGATATTTAGCCAAATAGCCTAGCCGTCGAAAAGTAAATCACGAACACAATATTTTAACGACTCGTCTCGGTTCAGTTGTATACGAATATGCTCTATGTATGTATACCTATATAGATGTACAGTTTTAGAGAAAATATCGATAATTATTATGATTATTACACACGACAAGTTAATTGGACGGAATTCTAATTTATTGGAGGATTGATTTAATAATTACGGTTTTAACTTTTAAACCGTTTTACTGAAATTACCCACTTTCTTTCAGAGATGTAAACGTACAAAAATAATAGTTAATAATTAATAACTATAATATATTGTACGTAAAAGAATACGATAGAAGTAAGCAGTTTTGTTGAAACACGTAATTTAATTTATTACGAGTTTACGAGATGCAAACCTTTCATTTTTCAGTAATAATTTATAGCTTATTTACAAAGATGTACATATTTACATATACTCAATATTCATTTTATAAGCTAATTGACAAAATCCATTAGCTAAATCCAAAAAAAAAATAGCTCTACTTTGTTATGTATTTAATTTTATATAAGAAACTTAAAAAAAAAAAATAATAAAAATAATATTTATCATAAGGTAGTATAAATAGGTTTTGTTTCATGCATTATAATACATCGTTATACCTAAAATAACAATATTATAAAAACGAATTATATTGACATATTGTTTAAACACGCGAAGGTTAGAGTTTAATTTTTGTTAGATTGAAAATTTAGAAAAATATAAAACCATAGATCAATATCGCACTTTCAATAACGTAAATATCTATCTAATCACATCATAAAATATATTTTTTACGTGTATGCACGTAGTTTAGTACTTATATATAGACTATAGACTATAGTATTAGGTGCCTATAGCGAAATTGGAATCACGATGAACAATTACAATGGAATTTATCAATGTTTGCAAACTATAATCTTTGAGTCTATAAACACCTAATAATTTTGTCGGCTTATATAAGTCAATGAGATAATACC